GCATTTAAATTAAGTTTTAATTATTTTAATATCATTAATATAATAAATGTTTAGCATTTTCATTGTTTAAATTATTTAATAAAATTAAATAGTTTGTGTTTTTAGCATTTTAATTAAATGTAAATTATTTTAATATAATTTTAAAAATTGTGATTTTAGCATTTTAATTAAGTTTTTATTGTTTTTAATATAATTCATTTGCGTTTTTAGACTTTTAATTAAAATGTTCAATTATCTTAATATAATTAAATATTTGTGTGTGTTTTTAGCATTTTCATTAAGTTTTAATTACTTAATATAATTCAATAATTCAAAGTCATCCTTTGGTCCAACCCCCTGATTTAGACATGATGATGCTACAAATACAAAAAAATCACCATAGTACTACCATGGTATTTTAGAAGTAACTTGTAGTTCCATATAAATGCTATGGTACATGGATTTCATTACAAGGGTATATTTCAGAGTACCACTACCACCTGATACCATCAAACCTCAGTGCACAGCAGTTTGTGTGTGTGTGAGTGACCAGGTCAGCTGGATCCGATCATGTGTCAACTACTGTGGGAACGTCAGTCTCTCTCCCTTCCCGTTCCACAGTGAACTGTAAAATTATTTCCTTTGTTGCTGTTTTTTTAGGCAGGCGTCTTCGCGTTCCCCTCCCAGTCCCCTGACTAGTGTATGTCTTCATACAGTGTGTCTCTGTGCACATTCACACGGGACGCTCTCGAGATCTGAGTGCCATGAACCACAGCAGAGAGCTGTGAGGAAAATCAGCACATGAAACCTATCCCGGGCTGGAGACCACACTCATTTCGCCCCTCACAAATCCCACAGTAAAGCGCAGGCTCCGTGCCTCTCACTTAACCACCGCGCTTGTGGTTTGGAGCTTGTCGTTTTTCTAGACGAGGCTTGCGGTGCATGTAAGTCATGCAAGGTCTTGTTCGCTGGAGCACTTAAAGTGTCAAAATCCTGCGCTTCATCAGTAACTTTGTCTTGTTTTCTAGTCAAAAACTAACTAAACATCCCTAAAACAAGATCAGTTTGCATGGTAACCAAGATTTCAGAATGTATCCTGAATATGATTTTAAAATTGTTAATATTAGTTAACTAAAACTAAAACCATAAAAACTTTTTCATTACTTGAAATTAATGTTAACTAAAATAAAATATAAAAAAAGTAAACATTTTTATTTCAGCTCATTTTCGTTTAGTTTAACCTTATGTACTAAAATAATTACAACTAAAACTGAAATAAAAAATTAATAAAAAAAAAACTATATAAATGCTTATTATAATTAAAAACAATAAAAAAAGTTACCTGAAATGTAATAAATGTTATCTGAAATAATATAAAAAAGAACTTAAGCGTATTTTATTTCAGCTAGCTGCCAACGTGATATTTCTCATTTTGATTTATTATTTGATTATTTATTAAGTTTAAATACTAAAATGAAAAAAGTGAAATAAAAATGTATTTAAAAACAATACCTATTAAAAAAGATAAAACATACAACAAAATCACTAAAACGTAAAAATGAAAATGAAATGAAATTGAGAATACAAAATAAAATTAATTAAAAAATATACAAAGCTATAATAATTTCTCATTGATAATAAAATAAAACTCATGAACTAATTATTTTTAATATTATCAATCTGTTAATATTAATTTATAAACACTATTGTTTTTTATTCATATTAATATTAACTAATAACTTGAAATGTTAAAATATATACTATATATATATATATACAGTGGGGAAAATATTTATTTGATCCCCTGCTGATTTTGTAAATTTGCCCACTTGCAAAAAAAATGAAGGGTCTGTAATTTTTATGGTAGGTTTATTTTAATGTATAGAGACAGAATACCAACCAAAAAATCCAGAAAAAAAACACATTATAGAAAGGTTAGAAATTGATTTGCATTTCAGTGAGTGAAATAAGTATTTGATCCCCAAGCAAAACATGACTTAGTACTTGGTGCAGAAACCCTTGTTGGCAAGCACAGAGGTAAGACATTTTTTGTAGTTGGTCACCAGGTTTGCACATATCTCAGGAGGGATTTTGGTCCACTCCTCTTTACAGATTCTCTCTAAATCCAAAGCATAATGTTTCCACCTCTGTGCTTGACTGTAGGGATGGTTTTCTTGGGGACATAGTCAGCATTTTTCTCCCTCCAAACACGGCGAGTCGAGTTAATGCCAAAGAGCTCAATTTTGGTCTCATCTGA